CTACTCTTGTTTTTTATAGTAATAGGATGCAAACCACAAACCACAGAACCTCAGATACACAGTTTATTTCATACCACAGAATAATGAATAAATACTAGCATCATTTCACAATCATTAAAAATATCCAGATGTGAAAATTACTCCAAAGTGAGATCTGACAGTACAAACTGTACTTACTCTCAAGAAGGATCTAAGGCAATAAACTTAAACTGATCCTTTGGTCCAATATAGCCATTATCAAACTTAATATGAACTTTTATAATAAGCCTAAAAATGATCATAGCTTAACAATCAAGACATCATTCTAATAAAATTTATAGAATATCATTGAAGTTGATTGCATAACTCATTAAAAGCAAATTCCATAGGAAAAAAAACACAGAAAAAGAAAAAGATTTAGCTGAAACATTCTTTAGTTTGAAATTGGGTTTCATAATAAATAACTTTCAGGTCAATCTGGGGATAGTGAGAGTTACATAATTTTTCAACTCTTTCATGATAAGGGAGCTTGTCTTCCAAGATGGTAAGCAGGTGTATAAAAGAAGTTTGGGTACAGTGGATATCTTAGGTGATTTGAAAAACAAATTAGTTAAAAATGAGAAAGTAATTTTCTCCAAGAAATGCTTAGGGTAAGCATTTCAAAAGAGAATGCTTTGTATGGAATTAATTTCTTTGTGAAGGGCTATGACCCAAAATACAAAAATTGGTTTTAAGGATTACTTTGAAAGTTTAAGACAGAGCTCTAACACATCTCCAGTTTTTAAGTACTATAGAGTAGTCAGCTTATGTTATCAAATATTTTGTTTTTAAGTATGGCAGAAGCTCAACACTGAAGGAGTTTTAATGAGTATTTTGATCTCACTAATTGCAACAATTATTTTAGTTAAAAGTCAGCAACATGAGAGAGTAGTTGCTTTCAAATATATTTACTCAAAACCACAAAAATATTTGACATGTTTTGGGATATGAAACTATAGCAGACTTGAAGTATCAAGTACAATGGATCATGAGATCTGCCATATTGATAAAGAGGTATATCAGTTTACTAGCAATTAGAAGTGAATATAATTAATGAATTTTTATGATTTTTCTAACTCTTTGTTTGGAATAAAAATGCATTCATCTTAAAGAATTTTGTACCTTTTGATTTAAATTTATGTATTAGCCCCATCTGGATAGGTGGGTGAAATTCACAGACTATGGGAGATACAGCATATGTAAGACATATATAATTTGTTTATAATAACAATAAATACTATCAGATCAATGAACTCTTTACTTTTTCTATTGACAGTTTTTAACAATTCCTGATGATATTTATTAGGACCCAAGTGAAATTATTATAACTATTATTATAATTATTTCACATCACTTAACATGTCAAATATTTTTATGTTCTCCATTAAATTATATTGTCTGATAGTAAAAAGTTGGCAATATGAGCAAGTAGTAGCTGTGTCTTGACATGTTGTAGCTAATTAGTAAGACCTAAGTACTTTACTTTTAGAAATCAAAGTTGAACATAAACCTATAAAATTATAAGTTGTACAAAGTGTAGGGTTAAACTAAACATTGTAAAACGACTTCATGTGTGTATTTGGGAGTTGGGTGGTACTATCTAGACCTTATCAGTGTCACTTGGACTCGAAGATGAAGCAGCAACTGTTAGACTTAACTTGTTTCGAAATTTGTTTTGAAATTCTAACTGGTCTGTACTTTCAGTTTCATGCTCATTGGCGTAAGGCATTCATTTCAATTTTCATGATTATACAAAGAAAGACAAGTGGGATTTCTGTCTCTCTCTATCATATGAGGGGACGTATGTGTTTATGACTATCATAGTATCAAGCTAACAACAGTAACACTAATAATAGTAATAATATACTTATATTTTTTAAAGTTATAATAATAATTAATATGATAAAGCAAACGCTTTATCAATATCAGTTTGTGAAATTTTAAATTTAACTTTAAGGTAATTCAGCATTGTGGTAAAGCTAAATTCATACAAGTTATGCACATTGATATAAGGAAAACAAGAAGCTGACAATGTCAATAATTGACATAAATCATGAATATATTACGGCATACAAATAGAAAATAATGTTAAATTAATCCAACTCTGATCTTACCAACGATCTCCAACATTCATCGCCATGATGCTTTATCATGTGACGCACAGCACCACCTTACAGTAAAGGGAAAAGTGTTTTGAAAATGAAATATTGTTTAGCTTTGGTAAATTATGACAAAAATAATTTACTTTAAAAAAATAAATGTTTAAAGTTAAAGACTTGCTGAGGGACACAATAAAACCACAGTAATTTATGGTATTATATGAAATTTTCAAATAGTTAAAGCTATAAGGTTTTGGAGGAGCTTTTTAATGTTACGAAACATGGTTTTGAAAGCACGAGGAAACATTTATATATTCAACATGAAACTAGATAAGTTTCGTTAGGAACTAACTTATAACAACATTTTTGATCCTTTAAATCCTTAACAAATATATTACCATTAGCTTTCTTGCTCTGTTTTATGTGAACGGTTTGATGGCAGTCAAAATATTTCATGTATATGTTTTACAGTTGGTTAGTCTGGCATGGCCTAATGGTTAGGGCGCTCGACATATAACCTGTAAGTTGTGGGATCAAAACCAATCGCCGAGCATGCTTGCCCTTTCAGCTTGAGGACGTTATTATGCAAAGCTCAATCTACTATTCATTGGTAAAGAGTAGTCAAAGAGTTAAAGTTATATACAACACGTACAGTATTGTAGGTATTTCATAGAGTTTATGTTTCCATAGCTATGCCTCTGTGTTATCACTCCAGTAGGATATGGGTCATATCCAAGATTAAGAATAGCCCCAGGGTTTGTTAATGTTTGTACTAGTTATAGTTAATTTTCTATTGAAATTGTAAAATTTAAAGACTAACTGAGATAGGCAATTTAAGACAGCGGAATACTATAGTATGCGTGAAAAAATATTTTAATCATCTCATTATTGCTAAACTTAGAAGTTCCTGTTAGCTCCTGTTTTAACAGCGAATACCACAAACTAACTTATCAAGCTTAGATTTTGATACCATGGTAAAGAAAGGTAGAGTTAGTTGGTATTATTGTTTTAAAATGGATGATCTGTTTCAATTCATGGATGTAGAATTTCAGCCATGCTGTTTGTTGAGTTGTGGGGCTTGAAATATGCGAGGAGCTGTGACAATATTATTACGCGCTTGTTGGATGGCAAGCTGATAATGTGATGATTACATGCACATTCCTTCGTAAAACTATGAGTCATTTATCCGTTCCAAAGGAATTTAGTTGAAAGCTCCATATATAAAAAATAAAAATATTAAAGAATACAATTCCAGTTTGCTGTTACGCATATAAGACCAGTCATTTATAGATGAGTTATTTTCGTAACTATATAAAATGTTATCGGTATTTTCGTAGACGGGAAGTTTTATAACCAAATGTGGCTTTGCTACAAGAAAACACACACACACATTGTCCTATAATAGAAATAGCACTTTTGATTTTTTTTTTACTTTTAGTTATAGTTGGTTTAATAGTTGGCACTGTTTTTATCCATATTTTAAAAATGTTGTTTTATTTTAATTTAGTAGTTATTTTTTAAATATTGCAAAATCATGTAAATCTTTTATTAATATTAGAACAAAATACATTTAAAAGAAGACGTATATCTCAGTTAAATGAAATTTGGCATTAATTATGGTTTTTGAAACTACTGGCTACGTTAACAAATTAACGATTTGTTTGTGCATTGCTCTTCAGCTGTGGAGATCACGTATTGCATCGTATTGATCTGCTATACTTAGGATCGGTGTTTGATTACGTTGTTGTTCGCAATCTGGGAGAGTCAGGTGCTATCCAGACCTCTTCGTACTATCGTGTTGAGTCATTTTATGTTTTTGCCTTTCAAAACACCCACTATTAAGAACTGGGTCAAATAATTAATTTTCAGAAGTAATTTGTGTGATTAATTACAGTATTGATAGCATTTTTTGTCTACTTTTTTCTGTGTGATTCATATTTTTGTAAGCTATATTTTCAATGCTTTAATTTAAATATTAGCTAAAAGGCGTATCGCGTTACGTTCGAATAAATTCTGGAATACCTAGAACATTCTAGTAAATTCGATCAATACCTAGAAGTGAGACATCAGATATAAATACAAGTGGGCCAGTCAGTGGAAGCTAGCAGGAAATCGGTATTTAGTTTTAGTGAAGGATCTGAATCCGTGTCAGTTATTTCGTATATTTAGTTACACTATCTATTAGCATGAAATTGTGCATATAGTTTATTTTCATGTTAGTCGTAGTACCATTAGCGAGATATTTCCCTTTGAACGTCATTTGTAAACGTAGACCTACAAGTTACAACTGTGCACAAATGAATGCAGCTTGTACAAATG